GCGTGCTCTGCGGGCAGAACAGTCCAGGAGGCCATTGGTGCCTTCTGTATGACTACTAGCATCATGGCAATGGAGGTTGTGGCCGTAATACGAGCTTTCATGTGGCCAGCATCGCAGGGCTATTCTCACGTGTGTGTGGTAAGTGATTCCAAGAGCATGATGCGGCGGGTCGAGGCGTGCTTTGTACGCAGACAGTGGATTAAGTCATTGCAAAACTCCACTGTGCGTGGAGTTACCTTTATCTTTGTCCCAGGGTATGCGGGTGTTGTTGGCAATGAAAGAGCCGATAGATTAGCCGGCTCTGCTATAGTTGCAGAGGGCCTGCCTATGGATCATGCCGACATTGTTAACGCCATTAGAGAAGTGGGACAATCGGAGGATTTCTGGAGCAGTACATCAAAATATTGCTATGAGTGCAACAATTAGGAGTAAAGATCGGCACCGCCAGGCACGAGAAGCATATTAGACGCACGAGAAGTCTTGTCAGCCAATAAAGGACTGGGACTCTCGACCGCGGGGCGCTGATGTATATGTTGAAGGGGGAATCTGAGCACCTATAAGCATGTCCGAAGTGCCGTGAAGATAATCCGAATCATAACTCATAACTTCGTTATGAGATGAGATGTTCAACTCCAATTCCGGCACTTCACGACAATTGTAAGTCACGTTAAAGAGTAACACAAGCATGTAAGTAAGATCCCTTTCACGCCTTTAGGCGCATCAGGCACATGGGAGGAGCACCCATATTTTACAGACCAATCGGCACTAGGGGGGTAATGTGGTCAGCATTACGCCGGCCGTCTTTACTTCCCCAGGGCATGCATCCTGGTACCATATTTAGTCTGGGTCGACCTGGGACACCTCACACCATGGTAAATTACCAGTCGGACTTGCAACGCCTCAGCCACGGACGCCACGCACAAGTCTGTAGCAGGCAGTATTTGCCATCTGTGACAGCAGCTCTGTTTTCTGATTTAATGTCATCTGAACTTCGTGGGAGGAAACTACAACCTGGAGGCGTATGGAAATTTCCCCCCCCCCCCCCCCCAAAATGGAAGGGGCAAAACAGGTGGGAGTTAAGCATGTTTTAATTTATACTTGTAATCATCTGATATCCTTTTTTTTTAAATTGGGGGGGGGGCGGGGGGGGGGGCAGTTTTATTACAATAAAATATTTTACAAAACTTTAGGACGTTATGTTATTTGACACTTTGATTGATGTGGGACTTTTTTTTTTTTTTTAGGGGGGGGCGGGGTTTCTACAAGTATCTTGTCACCCCCTTGTGGGATGCAATTTTTCGTTTTTTGAAGCCCTACTCTGGCTATTGGCAGGGGCCGCAATATATCCCAGCCATAAAAATTGTCTAATGGCTGAACGCGGTTTCTGGGACCTCTCCACGGGTGAACCTCATCCACGTGGTGGCACTTTGTGTCATCGGGTGTTTGTCGCTTGTGTGATGTCCTGGTGGGGTTAAAGAAGATAGAGAGATTCTACAAGTCTTTGTTAATAGTGGCTAAGATTTCTCTTGTTGCCCTTCTTTTTATCACTTTTTTTAAGTTGAAGGCGTAGGTGAGAGGGCGTCTTGCCACATATTCAGGTGGGCGCCGCCAGAAAAAGGTTTAAAACTACTGCTATAAAGGATGATGTTACATGTCAATGTCAGAGTTTACTTTAGATTATTATTCTGAATATGTCAACATATTTACGGCAGCAAAACCTGATACCAAATGTGGACGGCAGCAAACAGATAATAGCTCACATTGCTGCAAGCACGAGGAGCCATGTTTGTAGATGTTTGCTATGACTGGCCATGTTTGTAGATGTGTTTGCTATGACTGGCCATGTTTGTAGATGTTTGCGATGACTGGCCATGTTTGCAAATGTAGGCGCAGTTGTGGTGTGAAATGTGTGGTGACACTGATCCAATCTCCCCAGGGTTGTCAGCGTGCAAGGTGGACAAATAAGAAATATAAGCAGCATCGCTATTTGCTTGTTTCATTTATTCCAAGCCAACCTCTAAAGTGAACCCGAGTGTTTCTAAATCAGTGGTTTTCCCAGTTGTGCTAGCCGTATCTTTCAATGCTAGACCGCATTTCTAACCCTCTCTTACGAATTATTACTTACTAACTTTGTTCAAAGATTATCCGAACTGTGCTGAGTAAAAATCGTCTTCTTCTTCTTCGCGTTCACCGGCAGTAAACTCCGGCGGAAAGTTTTGGTTGTTCGTCCACTTCTGGTCTGCAGTCCTGTTCCAGAACCTGAGTGTTGCGTGTGCATCCGTTTGACAGAACTGACTAATTTGTATGCAGGCTATTGGTTTCTTTCTTCTCAGGCAGATACACTCCGACTTCGAAGGAAGCTCACAATTAGTCGACTCTTACGACATGCTTTTGGGTAGGCAGTGGGTGCATTCTTGTCTTCCTTATAACTGGCTCCCGGAACCCACACGGGGATGAGTAAAAATGACATTACTGGCATTGCGGTTTGAAATTACAATCGTTTCAAAGTAGACATCTTGAAATTGAACTTTTAACGATATAGTAATTAATAGAATAATTAATTACAAACCTCTTTCAGGTCAATTTAAGGAACTTCCTCTAAGAGGGATAGATAAGGCAGACAGGAATTCGTACACTCCTCTTAATACATTAGTAAATACGGCAGAAACGCAGTTTGAGAACTACTGATTGAAACAAAGAGTGGTAAAAACAGGATGCGCTGCAGAAGAGTAAGGTGTAGAGACAGCCAGGTTGCTAACTAGCCAGTTGTAGAGATTTGAGGTTTTAGAGGATTTGAACAACGGATCAACATCATGGCACACGGGTGTAACCCAAAAAGGCTCCATTCTTCTTCTAACTCAAGTCTGAGTCCGAAGAAGCGCAGCACAGTGCACAGGCTCTGTAGCACCGGCGAGGATCCTGAAATACTTTGGGTAGATTTTTAACTCCAAATATTGCCCGTGCAGCGCCGTTTGGCTACTCTTCACGATTTCCAACTGCCAAGTGATATTTTTATGTGCGCAACATTGCACATGGGCGTCCGATCTCACTATCCACAGACCAGGGCGAATTCCTTGAAGTCCAAGTATACGTGAAAAAAATCCCAGCCCTGACAGGGGATTGAACCCGAAACCTCTAGCACTCGAGGCGGACACCATGCCTCGAGACCTCGATTGCATCTGTACTTATGCTGAAAGTCGCATCGTTGTGTACATTAGTAAGCAAAGGTAAAGTCGGTAGATGTGAACCAGCATCATTGCACACGGTTATAAACCATAAGTGCTCTGCCTCCAATACGGACAGCTGATAAGAAACTGTCCGCCTATGTCGCCGTCCGCACGTAACTCTGTAGATACAGCGACGTTCCTCCATTTCCCCCAGAGTCTCACTCTGCGACCTATTTCCTAGAGGCTGGGTGAACCCCGGGAACCGCCCGGTTTCGAACACCAACCGTGGCTGCAGCGAGTTGCAGCTGGATTTGAAAGCGAGCCTCCTATCGACTGCGCTAACGTGGCTCTATATGAGTGGTGTTGTCTAATGCCTAGCCTGTAAATTAGTTGGGCTTGTAAATGTTTAGCCTCGTGTAAAAATTTGAAAATTAACATTAGAACAGTCCGACCATCTTCGGACCATTTAATAACCCTGGGGTGTGCCGGTTAGTGCATTCGCCTGTGGATTTTGAGATTTTGGTTTCATATACGTCGGATGGAAAACTGTAGAAGAAAGTCAAGCATTCAGTTCAACTAATTCTAGTATGGCGACAGAGACAGCAGCTGTCACGTTGACACTTTAATGGCTGGCGGAACAAAAATTACCTCACAAATTGACAGTGACAGAATCAGCGAGCATGCTTAATTAAGAAAATCTGGTAAACTGGTAAACTCCTAGAATAGGTTGAAGGCATCCAGAAATCCCACCTCAAGAAACTATCTCGGATGTACACACCCGGATACGCCAAGGTGACAGGAAATGAATGAATCGACAGGCTGGCCTTGTCTGCAGTGGTTTGAGGAGAGAGAAGGATGGACAGGGTAGAATACTCAGTGCGCTGCGTTCTAGAGACTTTCTCATGTTTATTCGACGGATCAACATCACGGCACACGGGTGTAATCCATAAGTGTTCCATTATATTTCTAACTCAAGCCTGAGTCCGAAGAATCTCAGCGCAGTGCTCGAACTCCATTGCACCAGCGAGGATCCTGAAATACATAGGTAGATTTTTTTTTTTTAAACTCCATATTTTGCCCAGACAGCGCCGTTAGGCTACTCTCTTCGATTTCCAACTACCATGGGGTTTTTACGTGCGCAAGAATACACACGGGCGTCCGATAACTACCCAGAGACCCGGAAAAATTACTAAAAGACCACGTGAACAAATCTTAGCCTTCACCGGGGCTTGAACCCGGGACCTCCAGCACTGAGGCGGACACCAAATCTCAAGACCACTCAGAGCCCCTGCTAGAGACTTTGAAAGGAAGTCTTCAGAGACAATGAACCACCATATTGGAAATTAGTATTAAACGAGGACAAAGCATGCAGAAACCGGTTGAGAGGCAAAGAAAGAAGAAATGACATATGAACTCCTTCCTACTGTGTATGTTGGGCATGGAGACACTGAGATGGCGGCTGCATCGGAGGAGTGAGCACCAATGGGTGGGACTGGTGTTTTAGGATGTCGATATGGACAACAAGTAACAAGTAAGTATCAAGGTCAGATCAGGGTCTTCTTCTTCGTTTTCTCTTTTACCTGTCTGGACAAAAAGGTGGTTACCAGCAGACTTTGTGGAGTGCTTCGGGCAAGGTAGGGAACTTAATGCGTGTTGGTCATCCACTGCACCTAGGTCCATTTTCAATAGTCTCGACGCTGTCCTGTCACTAGAACAAGATGGACACAGACGCACTGCGCAATTTTTTCCTCAGTGGGAAAAACCAGGTCACGGCGCAAGTCACTTTCATCCCATTACGCAATGATCATATTCAACAGCATCAGCATAGCTTACCTCATGTGTTTCGACAATTCCGCAGCACTGTGCTTTCGACGTGATGACCTGGTTTGGGATCATAGTCTGTGAGCTCGATGGAACAGCATAGGAAACGCAGAAACCTCGACAAGCATTCGTGGTTACCGCAAAAGGCACACAGTCAGCTATGGTCACTGTCCTTGTGTGGCCTACGATAATAGAGGAGCGTTCAAACGTAAAACACTTTGCTAAAACATACCTTCTTCTTCTACTTTACCTTCTTCTTCTACTTCTTGCCGTTTACTGGTTATAAACTCCAGCGGAAAAGTTATGGATATTCGTCCACTTCTGGACTTTAGTCTTATACCAGAACTTAGTTTTTACGTCTGCATCTGTTTTACAGATGAGGCTTGTTCGTGTGCAGACTGTTGACTCTTTGCCTTCAAACAGATGCACTCCGACTGCGAAACAACGAGGGGGAAAAACAACTAATTAGTCAGCTTTAAACACATGCTTTAAGGGGTGGCCCCCGGGGGGGGGGGGGGGGCAGTAGGTCTATTCTTTTATTCTCTCCAATGAGGTATCGGATACCACACGGTAAGTAAAACATGATTGTCACGTGACTACGTGACATGTCATTTGGCCTTGATCTTCATTAATTTTATTCAAATGTAGGTCACTTGTATTTTGAGATTCAGTCATTATTGGTTTAGGATTCTGTTCTCTTTCAATATCTATATATAAATATTATTTATAATAAAACTGCAAAAAAAAAGTTTTTTTTTCCCAGCATATCAGGTACAGATGAATGTAATTTAACCCCCCCCCCCCCCCCCCCCACCTTTCCCCATTTTTTTAATGTCCTTCTGTCTGTCTATTGGTATTTGTACGCCAGCACTGGCACCACTCTTACCCTATGTGTGTGTACTAATGTCGTCCCACGACCCGACCTTGGGTACACCATGCTAGTTTACCCCCCCCCCCTTTTTTTTTTTTAAACATTCCTTTCTCTCATTACTACTGGCGTTAACTCTTCCCTCCACCCAGGCTACTGACCCAGTTTCACTGCCGGTTTACATCATCATCATATTATACACCACTTCTGCCGTTAAGCGACGTGGGGAGGAATAATTTGCGATCCAGTGCACGTTGGCTGCCACTGGCTATACGCTCTGATGAAATATAGGTCAGTACCTGTCCAGTTTATCCTCTAGGAGTTTTCTCCAGGGACCCAGATAAGTACAGTGGAACCTCGCTTAACGAGCATAATTCGTTCCAGAATCATACTTATTAAGCGAAACACTCGTTAAGCGAAACAATTTTTCATATATAAATTAATGTAAAATACGATGATGCGTTCCATGTCGAAAATAAATACTCACAAAAGGCTACGTATAATGTTTATTCAAAGAAAATTATTTTCATATTGTTAAGGAGAGTGAATCATCGTCATCTTTTTTCAAACATGAAACGAACCCACCTGGAATACGAATTCGATTTGCAGAAAAAAAAAGTCGAAATAATTATGATACTTAGCTAATTTAATTTTTTTTTTTTTTTCTTAGAAGATGTCCCGATACATTTGTTTTAGCCGACGCTTTAAAATTTGGCGCAAATGCGACACAACATTATCATTAAATAAATTTTCAACGCGCATAGCCACTTTCTTACTAGGGTGATGCTTCCCAGTGCAAGATGCAACAGTTTGCCATGCTTTCAGCATTTCTCTTATTTCGCCAGAAGATTCTTGCTTTTCTGTTACCTCTTCCTCCTCTGACAAACTTTCTTCCAAAGCTTCTTGCTGTGAAACACAACGCAACTCTATAAGCTCTTGGGTGGTCAGCACTTGGCTGTGCTCTTCGATATCACTGTTATCCACCTACAATCTCATGATAGTGGCCAAAGACACAATCTCGTTAACTACAGGTTTGACAGCTACTGTCTCGAACCTTTCAAAGTCACAAACTGACAACGCTCTCCGGCCAAAGCTTCTTCCAAGCAGAAGTTTGGGTTCTCTTGATAACCCCTTGCCCCGCCTTGTCGATCATCTTGAGGCAGGCAACGATGTGGAAGTGGTTTTTCCAAAACTCTTTGAGAGTGAGGTTGGTCCCTTTAGTCACCTGAAAACAATGCTCGAAGAGTGCTTTAGTGTAGAGCTTCTTAAAGTTAGAAATAACTTGCTGGTCCATGGGCTGGAGTAATGGAGTGGTGTTGGGAGGCAGAAACTGGATCTAGATTAACCTAAATTCTTCATAGAGGTCATCTTGTAGGCCTGGAGGATTCATGTACATATATCACAATATAACACAAGTTTGAGAAAATGTGTGATCACAAGCGACACTACGATACTACTAGAATGAGTGTTAAACGCAGACTGATGTAACATGCGCACAATCCGGGACTTTCCCTCTCCTCGCCACTCGTTATGCGAAACGTCGCTCGTTAAGCAAGTCATTTTTTTAACAATTTGTTTTGCTCGTTATGCGAATTACTCGTTATAATAGGTGCTCGTTAAGCGAGGTTCTACTGTATTATTTATTTAGCACATAATAGTCCAATAAAGTCATTTCTTTGTTGTTTTGTGCCACGTTGTATTTGTTTGCTAATGAACGCTAATCGCCGCAACGTCCTTTGTTTATTATAATTGATTTTGTAAAGCTGACATAAACTATTTGTTTTTTTTCACACCCCCTTTTTTTTCTCTTCCCTATAATGTCCTACCTTTTTTTTTATTTTTTTTTTTACCATTTAGGTAAACTTCTTAGCAGAAGCATAAACATTCAAACAAATTCTGGAATTTGTTTGCAACACCCTGTAAAAAATAAATAACTAACTTTACATGAGAGAGTATTGAATGTTGGAAAAGGTGGGTGTGTGTGTATGTATGTGGGGGGGGGGGGGGGGGCGATTACTTGGTGTGAACTGATGATCATGTTTGCCTACACTGGACTACCGGTTACTTTGTAACAGTTTTGTTTTACTCCAATACAACTGAGCTACATGGCTTTCTTTGAGCTTGCTTTATGGCTATAGGGTTGAACGGGGTTTCCGGGATTTGTAGCTGTTTGATTCTCGTCCTTGAGATGCTAATTCTGCAGAATGCAAATTTGGGGAAAATGGAGAGGGGTGGGGGTTACTGTGTATACATTAAAGATGTACCATCTTACCAACAAGATGGCAGCCAGGGGCTTCCCACCTCTGTCTGGTGCCAGATACTGATAAAGAGGAGACAACCAGAGTCGTCAGAATCACAGACGTCAGAATCACAGTACTGGAACAAGGCATAACGCTTGGTGGAGTTGATAAACGTCAGTGTGAAGATACAAATGATGTACACTTGTTGATGATAGTATTGCTGGTGATAGTAGTTGTGCAGCGATACTCTGGAAAGTAATGAAAGATATTTAATAACTTATTGTAAAACTTAGAATATATGTTGAACTCAAAAAGTTACACATAAAACCTAGACCTGCTGTGTCGTGCAGAGACCTAGCAAATATTCAGTATTGAATACGGTCGTCTTATGTTCGCGTTTTCCCCCCGGGACCCACACGGGGAACGTCTAAATTAATCTGGAAGCATGTGTCAACTTTTACAAATCCTACTCAATGAGGTTTTAAACCCATAACCACGGGACTGACATGCTCGCTACTCGACTATCTTGGCTCCAGTTTTTTTTATTATTCTGCTCAATTTTAGGCCTAATAATTAAATTCAATATTAGTTTCATTTAATTGCAAACGAATTAGTGCCGGCCACGCACGCGTGAATTTTTGCGTGTTTCCAGGACCCACTGACTGACTGACTTTCTACCCCACTAGGACATCACACAAGCGATAAACACAATGTGCCACCATGTGGATGAGGATCTCCGTGGAGAGGTCCCAGAAACCGCGTTCAGACAATTGGCCATATTTATGGCCTGCCTATATTGCGGCCCCTGGCAAAAGCCAGAGTGGGGCTTCAAATAACAAAAAATTTCGTCCTAAAAAGGACGAAGTACAGAACAGGACCCAAGTCCAAGTCCAAGTCCTTTTAAGAAAAAAAAAAAGAAAAGCTCGACCACGTTCAGACTGCTGCTAGCTAGCCTAGGCTGCTAACAGTCTCCGCCTATATTTGTGGTCTGGGTTATTTGCGTCACTTTCGTGACTGAATACTGGTGTTTGTGCCATTTCTGGCCTAATGCTTCCCTCCGTATCAAACCGCTCGTCCTGTTGTCACTGGTGCATGTCTTCCTTCTTCATTCTTGGTGTTTCCTGTTTGTTCTGTCTCCCTTTGATCTGGCTAGGCGTATCTCGAAGGAGAGCGAGCTTCCAAACACAACGACCTTTCGGCCACCATTTATTGTTTTTAAAATTTTGAGTATTTTAATTTTGCCAAAAAAGTACTGAAAACAGTTTTTGAATGTGAATAGTTCCGAAATGTGAAAATTGTCCGCGTGTGACCATAGTGGTCTTATAGTTGTCTTCCTGTAATATTAACGGGCTAGTCATGTATTGGATATGTGTGTGAGAGTTTGTGTGGAGTCTTAAGCGGGTCCAGTCGTCATTTGTTATTATGTGATCGGGTTGTGTTGATAGCTAAGCTCCGGTGTACGTAAATACCATATAACAGGACCGTCCAGCTCACGCTTTGAACAGGACCCACGGACAGCTCCAGATTTATATACAGCCGGACGTGCCAGGGCCTAAGCTGTGTTCATGCATCCGTTTTACAGGACTATAGTCAGCCAAGCTGGCCTATAGTATGTTGTTTCCTTGCCTATCCGGCAGATGTATTCGATTTTGAAGGAGACATTGATCATATTGCTAGGATGACAGTAGCCAACCTGAACCTTTTAGTCAAGCCTAAAGTTTACCGTTTAACTACTCATTGTCTCATGAATTTATATAACATAACATGATTGTTCACAACGCTAGTATAACGACTGTCAGCTTCTCTCTGTGGCTTAAGAGTTGTCAGCAGACCCCTCTGCGTTGATTTCGACACTGGTAAATAGCGCCGATAGTTTAGGTTCAATGGCAAACTAAGTTAGTTGCGTATCCTTTACAGGACATTGCAGAACCAACCCCAGCATTTTTTGGCTTTAGTGGTTTTTTTCTAGGCAAATTTACGTCCAGTAGTTTGCCATTGCTTTCTGGAAGGTCAGCTTCCTGATACCACTGTCGAAACCAACGCAAGGCACAAGGCCCACAGCTGGGATCGAACCTGGCACCCCGGCATTACGAAGTTCGTTCGCAACGCCTAAGCCACAGACGCCGACGAATGGCAAACTACTGAGCGTAAAACTGCCTTGTGCTTTTTTTTTTTTTTAAAGTACGACTAGCTTTTCAAACATTTATACTAAACTACACTTAAAAATTCTAGAAGACAGTACCCCATGATAAGATGTTTCTGACTATTGTATGTGACATTATATTTTATATATTGTGTACTATTTAAACAACAAAAGGAAGTTGACTGGCTTACCTGTTGTCGACGGGCACCTGACTTGAGAAACGCGGCAGACTTTTATTGAGAGAAGCGACTTTTGCGCGCCATGAGGAATTTCGCAGTAGCAGGCGATTGCTAAACACGGCGGGCGGAAGTTGTGTAGGGGGTTTCTTGTTTCAACTCAAGGTTGCAAGAGAACCGTGCACCTAAGAGGTGGATGGCAATTTCGTGGATAGTCCGGTATGTTTGTTCATCTTCAATTTGCTTCAAGTTATAATCATTCTTGCCAAGCAAGAAGAAGAAAATAAGAAGGAGATGAAGAAGGAGGAGGAGGAGGAGGAGAAAGGTGGAGATGATAAGAAGGGGAAGGAGGCGGGAGCAGGGGAAGGAAAAAGAGGAGGAAAATAAGAAAACATCTAAGTATTTATCCTTATGTCTATCTGTTGATCTTATCCGGTCAAGATCGCCAATTGTCAGTCCGAGAACGTCTTTTCTATTTACATTTTGATGTCCACACAAAGATACTTTATTTGAATTCAAACATTCACCAACACGCTCTGATAATAGTTATTTAGTACACAATTCTCCCCCCCCCCCCCCCCCACCCCATCACCCCCTCCCCCTTTAACTGGACTACATATTGCTTCGTAACCGTTTTGTGGTGCCCCAATATAACTGTGCTGTGCGATTGAACGGTATTTCGCGGAAATGTACCTGTTTGATTCTCGTCCT